GAGCAATGTATATTGGAATTTTTATTTATTCTTTTATACTAGCAATCAATGGCTCATAGTGGGACTGTGATAGTTCAGTGGGCAATCTGACACTGACACTTTTTGGGAACTAACTGCCACTGGCATCTCCAGTGACACTAATAGAGTGATCAGCACTGATAATATACACACTAACAACAGTCACTGTACTGGCTTGGAAGGGGTTAGCATCTTGGGGTAATCAAGGGGTTAACTGTGTGCTTAACAAATGTTAATGTGGGTAGTATATGCTTCTTTTCAATAGAGATCAATTTGTTTCTTTTCTCTGCTTGAAGGGAATAGAAACAAAGCGATCAATCTCTCTGTTTAGAGCCATGTGTTGTTTGTCAACACAGGGCTCTGGGCTGTGATTCGACACAGCTTATCAGCAGGTCCCAGGCATGAATCATTGGCCGGGATCAACTGACAAACTCTGGCTGTGTCAAATCACAGGGGAGTAGGTGGGCGGGGGCGCACGTGCGTGCTCCCAACTGGGAAACCGCTTCCGATGTACAGATGTACAAATGTACAAAATAATTTAGTGACTATATACTTCAGGAAATGATTGTTGGCCCTTTTCTTATGGATAAAATATTGTCAGTTGCAATTAGTAATATAATGTTTTATGCTCAATGTGTATAATGTTCTACAATAATTTTTTAATTGAGTAAAAGTGGCCTTCAGTAGACATAATGGGGCCTTTTAAATATTTATTCTATTCAGTGTGACACACTTTTTAATTTAAGCTTTAGAGGCTCACTTTAACCATTTCAATACGGGCAATTTTACACCTTCCTGCCCAGGCCATTTTTCAGGTTTCAGCGCTCTCACACTTTGAATGACAATTGCGCGGTCATACAACATTGTACCCAAACTAAAATTTTATCATTTTCTTCACACAACTAGAGCTTTCTTTTGGTGGTATTTAATCACCACTGGGGTTTTTATTTTTTGCTAAATTAACAAAAAAAGACCAAAAAGTTTGAAAAAAAAACACGTTTTTCTTTGTTTCTGTTATAAATGTTTACAAATAAATAATTGTTCTTCATAAATTTAGGCCAAGATGTATTCTGCTACATGTCTTTGGTGAAAATAACCCAAATTAGGATGTATTATTTAGTTTGTAGGAAAGTTATAGAGTTCACAAACTATGGTATAGATCTGAAAATTGATCAATCCTGAAGTACTGACAGCCAATCTAATTTCTTGAGGTCCAAGAATGTCAGAATAGTAGATATCCCCAAATGACCCCTTTTTGCAGAGTAGACAGTCCAACGTACTTCATAAGAGGAATGGCGAGTTTTTTGAAGTTGCATTTTTTTGTCATAATTTTTCGGAAAATGAAAAAATTAAAAAAAAATAATTTTCACTATTTTTTTTTTACATACTGTCACCAGTGCAGTACAGCGTCATCATATAACTGGTATTGCGGTGAACAGGGACACTGACTGGTGACAGTATGAAAAAAACATATATATATATATTTTTTTAATTTTTTATTATTAATTTTTTATTACATTTTTTTAAATTTTTTTTTTCATATTTTACTATGACCAAAGTAGTACAATATTACCATAGTAACATTGTACTACTTTGGGGAAGTGATCAGTATTTTTTTTTTTTTTTTTTTTACACAATTTGCTTATAACAAATAATTACTTTGCTATAAGCAAGCATTTACCTGAATGAAATCGATTCATTCAGGGTTTTTTTTTTTTTGTTTTTTTTTTGTTTTTTTTGTGCTTAGCTGTGATTTGGCCACAGCTAATCACATGACATGTACATGTGACTGCTGTGACCATTCACAGCTAGGCACTAGTATACAATGGATGGCATGAATGAAGCCATCCATTGTATACAACTGTCATGTGACCTGCTGTGATTGGTCACAGCAGGTCACATGGTACCAGCAACGGGGGCCGGTACTCAGATCTGTCATCGGCCGTGTCCGAGGTACACGGCCGGTGACAGATCGCGCCGCTACGCGGCTCTGCAACCGCGCGAACTGCGCATGTGCGGGCGTGCACCCGGAAAGCTAGAGCATTTTTGCGGCCGCCAAACGGCTATAGGCCGGGCAGCTAATGGTTAAACTAGAACTTTGTGTTATTTTTTTTTAAATCTGTAATGTAAACATAAGTTGTCTTTGAGGTGTTGGTCACTTTGAGTATTTTTGTGGTTACTGTAACATTTTCATTTTTATTCAGATCTGATAGTATAGCTCAGGCTATACTTCTGGCTCTGTAACAGGCAAGCTGCAGGTGTCATACACTGAAACCATACTGTTTTTTGTTTGCCCTTGCCAGTAAGAGAATGCTTTGTTTATTATGAACCCATTCACAGATTACAAAGTACTCTGTGAATGGGATAGGGGAGAAAGAAAACACTGTGGCTTATGTACACCAGAGCCCACAGCAGTTGCTCCCATTATACTTTCTTCATACGTCATAACTATACTTCACTGAGTGCAAATATTACAGTAACCGCAAGCAAATTAACAGTCACATACACTTTTTAACAATGATGGTAACATTGCAGATTTTAAAAAAATCCTGGCGTTTTTCTTTAATAAATATAACCATTTCAGGTGTGGCCACTAGATGGTGCAATAGGGAAGCAGTATTTAGCAGTAACACGAAATATGATGAGACAGTATATGGCGCATGCATACTAACAATTCTGCAAATAGTCTTTTTTTTTTTTAAACTATCATTAAGATTTTGCAGAAGTAAAATATACATCCATCTGATCTGGAGAAGGCACGACACTGTACAGTGGTACATTATATATGTAGAAACAAGTATCAATAAGGTTTAATGCGATAAAATAAATTCCACAAAGGAAAAAGTAAATGAGTATTCTGAGTTGTCCCAAGTAAGTGAACCAGGTGCTCCAAGTGGTTATATAGGTAGTGTAATTGTTATGAAATCAGGCAGTCCACTCCTCTATACTTTGGAGGTGAAATAATTCAGTGACACACCCTTTCATCATTGAAGTATGTGTAGTTTTTCAGTATTGTGGAACCACTGCCCTGGTGGCTAATAGGAAAAATCGAAGGAGAACCTATTTTGCTGTGGAGATTGAACCTGGGAGTACAGAGACATTACCAATTTCTGGGGACGTCGAAGTGTCTGAGTCTGTTATCATGTTTTAAGTCACAAAAAAGTGAGACCAGAAAGTTTACATTAGTGGACAGGACCACCATACATGAAGCAAGGTGCCAGTTTTCCTCATTTGTTCCACAGGGGGGCTGGGGCAGAAAAGGGGCTATTTAATGACTTTTGGATGCATCTGGAGTAATCTGTCGTATTGTGTTTCCGACAATTAAATTTTTTAAAATTAAAATCAAGATGTAGAAGAGGCTGGACTTTAATTGCTGCAGTGCTGGAGATTACTCCACCTGCACCCTTGTGTGCCAGCAGATTTTAAAAACATTTTCTTTCCCTAGAGTTCTTACAATGCATACAATTGAGTGCTTACAATGATCAGCTATTGTTTAATATGTAAATCCTTTATCTCAAAAGAAGCACAATTGTTTGCTGTAACTGCTTAAAAACTGTTAGCTAAAGTTCAGCTTCAATTTGTTAGTGAATCTAAATCTGCTAGAACATCAAACACTCCCCTTCCCCCAGACTGACAATGCTGCTGTCCAAATGTGCCCCTTCATCCAGACTGTAGGCAGCCTAAGACATGAGATGTGTGACTGACCAGATCACCAAATGAAAACAGGGAAAAAGCTGAAAAAAAGAAGAAAAAAATATAGCCACCACATCTAAGGAAGTTGCAATATATTACACTTTTGGTTTGGGCTTAATACCACTTTAATCCCCGAGCTCAGCTAAACAAAGTCGGCTAGGGAATTTTTTTTTTAAATGCTGCAGAGCACAGTGCGCAGAGCCTTCTATCTGCCTCTGGGCCCAGAGTCTTCTCTCTGCCTCTGGGCCCTATGGGGATATTATAGCAGGGCAAAGCCCGGTACTAGAGGACTAGTCAACAGCCTTGGTGGAACAATTGTGCAGGGGTGGTGGTGAAATAGTTGTGCAGATGGAGTGGTGGAACAGAAGTGCAGGGGCAACCGTGGAACAGTTGTGAGGAGGGCAGTTGTGGAATGTTTGTATAGGGGAATTGATGAAACAGGTGTGAAAAAGTCTGCACAGCATACAATACACACTTTGTCTTTCTCTGTATAGTAAAATGGGGTCTGCAGTGTAAAAGTGGGACTACAATGTAAAGGGGTGCTGTGAGATTAAGGGGAGTGTTGTGATGTAAATAGCTGAATAGTGGCTATGCCCACTGCTGTGCGCCACTGTCAATTAACACCAAGGTGGACCTGACAGAGTATAAGCCTCTCGATTCCCCATCAGGCTCCACGACTATGCATAGTCAGCCAAAGGAAATTTCTCAGAAAAACACTTAAACAGGTATGACACAGAGAAGAACTATCCTCTTTTGCAGAGAGATGCTGATATCACTGAGGGCTCCATGTCTAGTATACACTCTGAACCATGGCTGTACTGGAAATAGCAGAACTGAGGCTATTTTGTTGCTGTGTCACCACTGCAGTCCACAGGTACTGCTACCCAGATCACTACTGAGAAATGGTGACTGTATATCAATAATTCTGAATAGAAAAGCAATAGTGTAAAAGGAAAGGCACAATAAGATACTTCATGCTAGCATTTTCAGAATGATTTCAGCAATAGTAGTCTCTGTATTTCTTTGAAGAAACATTAAGTTTAACTTGTTGCCGACCGCAGATAGCTGAATGACGGCTGCACTGCGGCCGGCCAGTTCTGAGTGAACGTCATATGACGTCCCCCCAGAACGCGCTCTCCTGCGCGCCCCAGGGGGCGCGCACCCGGCGATCTCCGTGATCGCTGTGTCCTACGGACACAGCTGATCACGTGATGTGGTAAAAGGCCAATCACAGCGGCCTTTTACCACCTGATCAGCGGTGTCCAATGACACGCTGATCAGAGGGAAATGCAAGTGCCGAGTCTCGGCTGCACTTTCCTCACGCTGTCAGATCGTGAGGAAAGTACTGCCGAGAACCGGCAGTTGTCAGAGCGGGGATCGGCACCGATCATCAGGGCACTGATGATCAGTGCCCTGATGATCGGTGCCCAGCAGTGCCACCCGCAAGTTCCGCCCACCTGTGCCCTGCAGTGCGCCCACTAGCTCCGCCCACCTGTGCCCAGCAGTGCACCCACCTGTGCCACTCTGCAATTTCACACACCTGTGCCCAGAAGTGCCACCTACCTGTGCCCAGCAGTGCCACCCACCTGTGCCCACCAGTGCCACCCACCTGTGCCCACCCACCAGTGCTGCCCACCAGTGCCACCCACCAGTGCAGCCCAGCAGTGCTGCCAGTCAGTGCCACCAGTCAGTGCCCAGCGGTTGTGCCAGTCAGTGCCGCCAGTCAGTGCCCAGCAGTGATGCCAGTCAGTGCCGTCTATCAGTACCCATCATTAATGTCACCTATCAGTGCCGCCTATCAGTGCTGCATATTAGTGCCGCCTATCCGTGACACCTCATTAGTGCTGTCTATCAGTGCCGGCTATCCGTGCCACCTCATCAGTACTGCCTATCAGTGCCCTTTAGTGCTGCCTATCAGTGCCCATCAGTGCCGCCTATCAGTGCCCATCAGTGCTGCCTCATCAACGCACATCAGTGAAGGAGAAAAATTACCTGTTTGAAAAATGTTATAATAGAAACAAAGAAACTTTTTTTTTTTTTCTTCAAATTTTTGGCAATTTTTTATTTATAGCGCAAAAAGTAAAGTGCCCAGTGGCGATTAAATACCACCAAAAGAAAGCTCTATTTGTGAGAAAAAAATGATCAAAATTTCATATGGGTACAATGTTGCATGACCGCGCAATTGTCAATCAAAGTGCGGCAGCGCTGAAAGCTGAAAATTGGCCTGGTAAATAAGGGGGTATAAGTGCCTGGTAGGCAAGTGGTTAAAGTGGAACTTGAGGCCAGAAATAAAGATGGGAGAACCAACATGCTTTGTCTCCCCTGCATTAAAGCAACATAACTGCCTGTCCATCTACAGTTGTGTACATATATATTTGAACACGGGCACAATTTTCATACTTTTGGCTCTGTATGCCACCAGAATAAATGAAAAAACTAAACAATCCAAATTAATTTGAAATGCAGACTTTCAACTTTAATTCAAGGGGTTGAACATAAATATCAAGTGCAAATTTTAGGAACTGCATCAATTTTTATACACAGTCCCTCCATTTTCAGGGGCTCAAATGTAATTGGACAAATTAATATATTCATAAATAAAATGTTAATTTTTAATATATTGTTGAGAATCCTTTACTGCCAATGACTGCCTGAAGTCTGGAACCCAGGGACATTACCAAAGACTGGGTTTCCTCCTTTCTGATGCTTTGCCAGACTCTAACTGCAGCTGTCTTCAGTTGTTTTTTGTTTGTGGGTCTTTCTGTCTTTAGTTTTGCCTTCAGAAAGTGAAATACATGCTCAATTGGGTTGAGAGCAGGTGATTGACTCAGCCATTGCAGAATATTCCACTTATTTTGCTTCAAAAGCTCCTGGGTTGCTTTTGCAGTATGTTTTGGATCACTGTCCATCTGTACTGTGCAGCGCCGTCTAATCAACTTTGCTGCATTTGGCTGAATCTGAATCTCTAAACACTGCAAAATTAATCTGGCTGCTTCTGTCTTCCGTCGCATCATCAAAAAACACCAATGACCCAGTGCCATTGGAAGCTATGCATGCCCATGCTATCACACTGCTCACTGCCTCCACCATGTTTTACAGATGACGTTGTGCGCTTTGGATCATGAGCTGTTCCAAGTCTTCCCCACACTTTTTTCTTCCCATCATTCTGGTACAGATTAATCTTAGTTTCATCTGTCCAAAGAATGTTTTTCAGAACTGATCTGGCTTTTTTAGATGTTTTTTGGCAAAGTCTAATCTGCCTTTTCTGTTCTTCAGGCTTATGAATGGTTTGCACTTTGTGGTGAACCCTCTGTATTTACTCTTGTGAAGTCTTCTCTTGATTGTAGACTTTGACAATAATACGTCCACCTCCTGGAGAGTGTCCTTCACTTGTCTGGATGCTGTGAATGGGTTTTTCTTTACCATACAGAGGATCCTGCGATCATCCACCATTGTTGTGTTCTGTGGACGTCCATGCCTTTTTATGTTGCTGAGCTCACCAGTGTGTTTGGCCACTCCTAATGTTGCTGCTATCTCTCTGATGGAGTTGTTTCATTTTTGAAGCCTTACAATGGCCTGTTTCACTTGCATGGACAGTTCCTATGATGTAGGTTCACAACAATAGAGTCCAAATGCAAATTCCACACTTAGAATCAACTTTTACCTGCTTAATTGATGAAGAAATAAAGAATGAGTAGCCCACAACTGGCCATGAAACAGCTTTTGTTACAATTATTCAATTACTTTTGGTCCCTTGAAAAAAGAGGGCTGGTTACTCTTAAGAGCTGTAATTCCTAAACCCACTCCTCTCCTGTCACCATTGCCTTTACCGGGCTCTCCGAAGCAATCAGGGAGCTCAGTAAGGATTCCACCAGCAGCATTGGCATCTTGTTCCTGTCACTGTGTAACATCAGAAGCCGGAAGCAACTTCTGGTTTCCATTCCCTTGTTTACAAGCCATTACCGACTTGTGTAGCAGCAAATCAAACTGATCTCAGTTTTATCTACTACGTTGGAGATCCAGCTTCATAAAGAGGACCTTTCATGGCCCATGCTATCACAAGGGATGTTATTTTTGTTGTTTTTTTACCCTGCAATAGGAATAAAAGTGATTAAGAAAATGTAAAGGTACAGTGTAAAAATAAAAAAATTTAAAGGTCATTTAGTGACCCTCCCAGATAGTGTCTGTAAGCGCCACATTGCCCGCCATCCTGTCACAGTACCACTATAAGTTGCTGTTTGCCGCCATTACAGTATAGCATCTATAGCTGTGCAAATTCCAGTATATACTGTATACCATACTTTGTAGACACTACAACTTTAGCACAAAAGTTATAGCAAATTAGAAATTTATAACAAATTAGAAAATATCATTTTTGTTCAAACAATTTTCGATCTTTTTTCGTTTATATATAAAAAAAAAATTAAAAACCTAGTGCAGATCAAATGCCACCAAAAGAAAGCTCTATTTGTGTGAAAAAGTGATATACATTTCATTTGTGTACAGTGTTGCATGTCGCAATTGGCAGTTAAAGTAGTACAGTGCTGAATAGCAAAAAAAATGCCCTGGTCATAAAGGGGGTAAAACCTTCCAGAGGTGAAGTAGTTAAGTTTTAAAATTCTGCTTATTCACATTTCTTAGCTACCAAATGAACATACAGTATGTAATAGCTTCAAGCATGTGCCTAAATGTTGTATTCTACTCACATACTTACACTGCTTCCTGAATGTGATCGAGCATATGCAACTGACTCCAGAGATGATGATCGACTGAATAAATAGAAAGAAGGTAAACAGATGTAATCATGGATTTAAAAATATATATAGTTACATGATACATATATAACAGTCTAAGAATAGTTTTCATTCAACCTTTCATGAAAATTGACAAGGGTTAAAAATGTAATATTTCATAATGTGGAAATGTATATTTTTTATTGAATTAGGATACATAACTAAATATTTGTTTCTTGTAACTAAGAGTGCAAAGAATGTTTAGTTATGTTAGGCTGAAATTCTTCTATAAGAGCTAGATCATTTAACCCAATGATAACCAATGCTTTTAGCTCTTTTCGTATTCAGGTATGTTTCTTACTTTAATTCTGTTAGCCCCTTCCATGTGCACCTAACTGTAAAGGTTTGTAATGTGCAAAGCCCATTTCATGTGCACCTTACTATAAAGAGACAGGGACAATTTGCTTTTATTGCAGGCTAGCTGGTAAGTATGCTGGGAACGTTTCTGTTGTTTGTAATGTGCAAAGCCCCTTCCATGTGCACCTTACTGTAAAGGCTAGTTATAGATTGGGGCCACCAATCTGTACAGCTTGTCAACACGCATTGGATACCTTCAGCTGCCATTGTGCTTTTGCTGGGTGTCCAATGTGTCCCTGCACCTTTAACCGCTTCCCCTTCGCCCTATAGCATAAATACAGCTACAGGGCAGCAGGGCTGCGCAAAATCACATATATATATATACATGATTTTGTATTTCCGGGTAGGGGGAGCACGCGCCCTACCTGCACTACCATTGGCAACTTCAGAAATTGATCACCGCGTCCTGGCCAGAGATCCCCCATTGGCACCCGTCGATCCCCGAGGAACATTTGGGTGCAGTTTTGCATGACTGCGCAATTGTCAGTTAAAGTAACGCAGCGCCGTATCACAAAAAATGGCCTGGTCAGGAAGGGGGGGGGGGGGTAAATCCTCTGGAGGGCAATTGGTTAAGGAAGAGTGGGCTCCCTCCAGGCAAACCTGCCCTTAATTTATCCACTGCTACATGTGCTCCAACTTGGAGACTCTTAAAACTATAGAGGTACGACCGCAGTGTACAGAGGAACCTTGGTGAGGCAATGTGGCTTTCACATATATTTGCAAAAATGTGGTACTAAGACCTCTGTTTAACATGAACTGTCAGACAGAGCCATATTGGTTTTATTGCAGGCTAGCTGGTAAGTGTGCTGGGAAATTTTCAGTTGTCTGTAACAGCAGACGTAAGGCCCATTACATAATGAAAATGTATAAATAGCCACTTGCTGCCCACCCACAGTATATTTACTGTGTGCAGTGGGCAGCTCCAAGCACTGTAACGTACTGGTAGTGACGCGTTTGCAATCCTGTGACTGCTGTGACTGGTTGATACAGCAGATCACAGTGCTCGGTGACCATCATTCATGATTACATGTAAGCAAAACTTTCATGAATGTTTTTCATTCACGACAGCTTGCTTACTATTGTGATGCTGATATTGGCACACAGCTATCATATGGTACCTGCACCCTGTACCATGTGATTAGTTGTAGCCAATCACAGCATCACTATAGTAAACAAGCTGTCATGAATGAAAGCCATTGCTTAGAACAGTGATCATCACAATAACAAGCAATAAAAAAGTGTAAAAAAAAAAATCCCTGATCACCTTCCCCCAGAGTAGTACAGTTTAACTATGTTCTAAGATGGCGGCCGTACCGGAAGTACGTCGCCGCAAACCAGATATTGTGTCACCGCGTATCTATGCGTTGTGTCACTGTCACGTGACTTCGTCACAGTATCTGCCATCTTAGTACACCCTGATTGTAACCTGAAAACCCATGCAGTACACCCATACATCCTTATGGAGCTGTGGATTGTAACTTCAGCATGTGAGTTGACATCTGACTTATTTTAATAAAAGCACTTATTTTGTGGCATATTACGCTATGAGAGATTCTTCCTATATTTATGTCATCCGGATGAGAGGTATATCTTGCTGAGACCAGGAGCCAGTA